CCCTTTCTGAATGTACAAGTACAATGTATAACAGTTGACACGCTAGTATCCCCAACCCAAACCAAGTAGCACATTACGTAGTTTTTCACCGCACTCAGCAATATTCCAGCTATATGGCGGCGGTCTGTAAATAATCATCTCTGTACCAGATAATACAGTGATCATCATCATGACAAATCGATCTACGCAACCGATGGGAACCGATGACATGTGTCAACCAAGTCAGCGAGTCTGACCACCCGATCCCGTTAGTGGCCATTCACAAAACGCATGGGTTACTGAAGATCAATTCTAACTCGGACCTTCATGGGTCGGTTCATTTATGCATGAATTGTATCATTTAACATTTGATACAAGTAATTGCACACTATTTGAGCTTTTATGACACACCGATGGATGACTAAAGTTGTGACACAGCCGATTCCAGCTACTATTGTTACTGACGAGGTGCAACTGAAAGTTGGATTAGTATGTCGAGAAACAGCTGGAAGGTTGAATTGTTAACTGTTATACGCAACGAGATGATCAGTCGGTCCAACCACTTGTGAACGTGTATCAAAATGTCGTGAACAGCGTTAGCCATATCCATGAAGTGAATTACATATATACACGAAGCACGTGATAACATGACACATAGCAAACGTTTTGTTCAGATACGCGTCGACGTAAAGGCCTTCAACTCTACACCTCTGTGACAAATTCATCTGACCCAAAAGAAGGAGATCTATGTGACACAGTTAGAGGACGTGCTGACGGTACAGACATCCCTGATATCCTGAATGTCACCTGTCCTGGGACCTGGCGCTACCTGACCGTCTACACAGAGACTGATAATGATGGAAGTGGTGCTGTGTTGGACTTTGTTGAAGTACAAGTCTTGAGTAAGTATAAACACAATGACAGCCAAGCTAGAACACGATAACCAGAAAATATTCAAGTCTGGATTCCACAAACCAAAGGTTGATGGCATTAGCAAAATACATTTAATCGAGGTATGATGACAGACAGGTATTTGAGTCATCTCGTTAATCCTTACGAAAAACCTATCAGTTTAAGTAACCATTAAAGAATAATGTGAAAGAATTGCAGGTACTCATTTGTTTTATGTCAGTGAAGAAGCTTGCTGTTTTCCATTCATTTTGGGGGAGATTATTTAGTTTACACTGTCTTGTTTTATGTAATGTCTGAATTAGGTAATTCATGTAACCAGTAACCAACGTAGTCAACAAACACACATGCTCTGTTCATAGATAACAGTAATGTACTCTTTTCAAAGAAATTTGCAATGTTACGAACTGCTCAGAGAAACGGCCGCTGTAGTCAAGTAGATGTACCCTTGCTTCAGTCTCAGATATGGAACTAATCCGAAACTAGTCGCTAGGACTATAAAGTAGTTAGTTTCTATAACTAAGTTAGCATCTATGTATATTATGACCAGAAAATATTGAGAATTTTAGGAATTTGTTGGATTTCTAGTATAAACAACCTTGACCAACTATCAAGTGCTTGGTTTCATTCAAGAGAGACAACTCCGTTAACCCTTTTTCATTAGTTTGTGAAGAGTTACCCCTTTGGTTACTTGCTAGCAGACAACATTTTCAGTGTTCCTCAGTATGGATGATTTAGAGAAGAGGAAGTGTATTATAACAAGGACATCAGATCAGCTAAAGTGATTTTAAGTAGAACAAGCATCCCTTTGGCCACTGTTTATCGTATTTTGAAAAATATTTGGCTGGATATGATTGATAGAGGAACTGTGGCTGTCTGTAAGGAGACAATTAGAACTGAGCTGCATGCAATGAGTTGGCAGAAAAGTCGAGGAATTCCATCACCGATCATGAAACCTGAACAAAAGGAGCGAAGGTTGAACTGGTGCTTACAGCATAGAAATTTTAACTGGGACAATGTGATTTTCTCAGATGAAAGTTCTGTGTGGCTGTTTCCTAATACACTGAAATATCGGCCTATGACCACTATTACCGAAATAATTTGAATTGAATTAAAATTGAATTGAAATTCTGGACCAAACAAACTGAATTTTTTGTACCAGCGCCCAAAGCACAGTCCAAAGTTTAACGTGTGGGATGGCATATCTGTGTTATTGGCAACTCCTCTGTGTATTTGAAGGGTATATGAACAGTGAGCGTTACACAGATATTCTCGAGGGACATTTATGTCCATCTGCTCACGTGTTCTATGGAACTTTTGGATTTTCCAGCAGGACAACGACCCAAAACATCGATCAAAGCATTCTACAGGCCTGGTTTCTGGACCCAAAATATGACATTATTAGATTGGCCAAGCTATAGCCCTGACCTAAATCCAATAGAAAATGTTTGGGGACTTATAAAGGAAAGTGTTAATAAGAAAAATCTGACTAATATTCCTGAAATGAAAGAAGAGGTGGTCCGATATTGGGACAGCATGGACCACGACTTTCTAGCTTCTTTGATCAGTAGTATGCCCCGCCGCATTGAAGCCTGCATTGCTGCACATGGTGACTTAACAAAATACTAACTGTTCATCTGTCTTTTAATCTGGAGTTATGTTCTGCTAATATTCACATATAATACCTGAGTAATGAGTGAAAAAAATACAATCTTTCAATTCTCAATAATTTCTGGTTGTACTGTAGAATGTATATTTCGTTATGCGCTCAGAACTACCTTACACCCAACTTTAAAACATAAACTGTAATGACAACACTTGATTAGATCAGATGCTTTTGTTTTGTTGAACCTGGTGGAACACATACCTGGTCCATATTAGAACTCCCCTGACACACTCTACGATCTGACGTTCCCACCTGGTCCTGATTAGAACTCCCCCTGACACACTCTACGATCTGACGTTCCCACCTGGCCCTGATTAGAACTCCCGACACACTCTACGATCTGACGTTCTCACCTGGTCCTGATTAGATCTCCCGACACACTCTACGATCTGACGTTCCCACCTGGTCCTGATTAGATCTCCCGACACACTCTACGATCTGACGTTCCCACCTGGTCCTGATTAGATCTCCCGACACACTCTACGATCTGACGTTCCCACCTGGTCCTGATTAGATCTCCCGACACACTCTACGATCTGACGTTCCCACCTGGTCCTGATTAGATCTCCCGACACAGTCTACGATCTGAATTCAACCACCTGAACAACGATCACACATGCCAACAAGGTTTATGATCACATCTACGCACTTGTTCTATAGTTTGACCCTCCCGCCTACTCTGACGTACGCATTTGCTGTATGAACAGACGATCATTATCTTCTGCACGGTCTACGATCAGACCTTAACGCCCACCCAAGGATTTAACCTGCCCACCCACCCAAATCCTCCACAGTTAAAATACTGAAGTTTTCTTTGGTGACATTTAAAACAACCTCATCGTTCATTGTCACAGCGAATATGTTTCGTTTGATTTCATCTAGATACTTGGACTTGGTGACAAAGACCATTGGCTATTTAATTCTTAATGTTTGAGGAATTCAGTAGTGCATTTGCCGACACTGAGTGTGGGAGGTTCGGATCCTAGATCGTGTCAGTAGGTTTAATCGCAGACCAGGTGGGTATATTTAATCTGCCTGGGAATGTGCGATCGTAAAGAGGTCTAATCGTAGACTATGTGTGTATATTTGGGTACTTGGTATGTGTAACGAATTCACATTTTTATCAGACTACTCTGCTATTGTTATCTCTTAAGTTAAGGTAAAGTGTCACTAGACCTACTAAATATAAACCATCGATCTACGCTCCATTTGCATTCAAGCTTTATGGCATATTCATAGTTTGTATCAATGTGTCCTGGTGTTGTATTTTTGATTGATTTAAAGCAGGTCTAACGTTCCTTTCGTCCCCATCTATTGTTACTGTGTTCGGGGCAGTGGCATAGCCTAGTGGTTTAAAACGTCCGCTCGTCACGCCGAAGACCCGTGTTCGATTCCCCACATGGGTACAATGTGTGAAGCCCCACTGATATTTCTGGAGTATTGCTTAAAGCGGCGTAAAGCTAACCACGCTCACTCACTTACTGCATTTACTATGTCCTTGTTCCATTGTCCATTTTGGAGAGCATTAAAACCAGCAGAGGGTTTAGCCGCAGGTCCTATGACATGACGAGTAGTGCGCACGAAGGGCACCCATTAGGCAACACGTCTACTAGATGACATACTAAACATGTATATTTCAAAATTAATATATATTTTAATACTGGACACGTATTTGTTCATTATTTTGTGCTGTTTCTCGTCCGATTGTCTCAGAATTGTGCAGCGAAAGGTGAAAAACTTTTTGCGTTTGGAATTATCAGGAAATGCGCATAAATTGCCACATTGTTTGTAGTAAAGTAAAGTTTGCAGTATGATATATTAATATCATGTCATATATCACTATATTTATACCATTTGAAACAGTTTAATTGATTCTGCATCTGAAAGTAAAGGTATTTTTATCGTCTGAAAGATGTCCTCCTCTGTTCAGAACGTTTTTCTAAATTGTTTAGAAAAAAAAGAACGCTTCCTTCCAGCTGCAGGTACTGCAGTAAATAACCACATACATGTTGGCATGACCGTTCAAGCGGCCTGCTCCGTGCACCGACTACTGATTCTCACCCTCGATCACCTGATCACTCATTATATGACCTCCACATCCCCAAATCTCAACATTTTGCAGCACATCACAGAAACTGTATTGAGGGGTCAAATGATATTCTTTCGATATTATCGTTTTATGCTTCTAATTGGTTCCCAGGGGCGGTTGGCTAGTTATGGTGGTTAAAGCGTTCGCTCCTCATGTGGAAAACCCGGGTTCGATTCCCCACATGGGTACAATGTGTGTGGCTCATTTCTGGTGTCCCCCGACGTGTCCCCCGACTTGTTTTACGTTGAAGAGATAGCTTGTTTTGCTCAGCAAACGCCTTGCTGAACACACTGTTATGAATGTCAGCATTCATACACTCATATGAGTATTAATCCATGTTATTCCAATACTGCTCAGTATGCGCCTCTTGGTATTATGGAGCCAACTGTGGCCAGTCCTGTGCTGCACGTCACTGCAAGATGGACTCCAGCTGTGATGTGATACAGGGCGAGTGTGTCGGTGGATGTGCAGCTGGATATCAGGGAACAGACTGTACTCAAGGTAATACTTTCAACATATCACTTTACCCATGTAAGTCCTCATTTCCTAATATAGCACACAGTACTTCCATTGTATATTAATGTTTTACACTTGCGTCACTTGCGTCTATTTATTTTGCACTGAAATCAGTATAGCCACCTTGCCGAACACGCCGATATGAATGTCAACCTCCATACACAATAATAAGGATAATACAAGGATACTGAAGCAACATTTTCGCCCAAAGAAGTGATAGTTATGGCAGTAATATATGGTACCTACACTACAGAAACCACAGGATTTACAACTATTAAGCTTATACAGAAATGAGCGTTGTTAATTGCAGTACTCTGATCATTATGGGTGATGCATTGTGCTCATGGATTTTAGAAAAAATGAAAAACTTCATTATAACGTAGTACGAATAGATTTAATAACGGACTGTTTTTTCAAATATAGTCAAAGGCAAGTGTTACTGCGGGCCAGGGTAACTCATTCACATAGTTCTGATTAAGATACTGTTGTTCTGATGCAAGAAAAGGCAAAGCAGCCTTTTGAAAAATCTTGTCTGGGTACTTTTGGGCATTGACAATCACTGGCGTCATTGATAAAGCTGTTATCTCATCCTAGATCATAACGCCCCACCTCCACACCAATCCCCTTCTAGAACACATGCCCTGACGTAACGTTTGATCGTGCGCCTGAAGACACGTCTCTTGTCTTCCGTCACCTCGGTGGAGAAGGAAACGTGACTCACGGTGAAGAGAACTATTCTGCACTCACGGGCTCCATAGCCTGTGTTGTCTGTTTCGTTGGAGACGTCAACGTCGATGATCTGGCGCTAGAATTGGCCGTCGGGCTTAGCGATGCGTATATGTCATGGAACTCGGAGATATATAACCTTCTGTTGACAGGTGTGGCACGAGCTGTAAGAGTATGTTGCTGTGTCTGTGTGGGAGGTGCATGGATTGAATCCATTGTTCTTGATGTGGAGTCGTTACTGATGGGTTGCCACGGCAAGGTCGGGCTATAACTTGGTGTTAAACACAGCAAAAATAACTCGGTTTCCGCAATGCGGAAACCTGGTAGAAAGTGGACTGAAACTTAAGTTTCCACCTAGAATCCAGTGAGTTTCCGTTCTTTTACATTGAGTTTCCGCACTAACGGAAACTTACAATTACCCACTTTCCAAGGGTTTCCGCAAGGTTTCCGTTACCCACACTCCAACAGGTTTCCGCAAGGTATCCGTTACCCACACTCCAAGAAGTTTCCGTTGAGTTTCAGTTAACTTTGAATCCATCAGGTTTCCGCCAAAGGTTTCAGTTATTAAGACTCCAACAGGTTTCCTCGCAGATAGTTTCAGTTACCAACAATCCGACATAGTTTCCGCGTATAGCTTCAGTTCCCAGCAATCCGACATAGTTTCCGCATAGTTTCAGTTACCAACAATCCGACAAGGTTTCCGCATAGTTTCAGTTACCGGTTTCAATTTCAGGTTCACGGGTTTTCATATGCGTTTCAAAGAGCTAAATGTAAACATTCTTCTTTATTTATATCATAAACTCTTGTTCAAAACAATATAAGCAATTTGTTATTATCATGACATTTTACTAAAGAAAAAAACAGAATATATAATAAGATTCATTGTTTTATTTTCTCAACATGGTATGGATTAGCATTTAAGGCAAATAAAGATCATACATATAACTAGTAATATAGCACTTAAAGAACAGGGCAAAACATGTTGGCATAACTCAATCCAGTTTTAGGAAATCATATATCATTTATAACAAGTTGTAATTTTTCATCAGTTAAACTTTCATTCACTTATTATCTTGAAATAGCATGTTAGATACGAAATTTATTTCTAAAATCAGGCTAATGATGAAAAATAACAATAACATACAACTTAACACAGTGATAAAACATAGTTGCATCGGACATTTATTTGCACGCCTTGGCATTCAGCCACACACTCTATGTCACAACTATCGCCAAACATCCACTATGATATACAATAACAACATACAGCTTACAATACAAAAATAAAATAAAAATTACATTATGAAATTGAAAATAAATTCAATTAAATTGTAAGAGCTGGTCAGTGGGCCCTGTAAGGGGCATCCTGATGGAGATCCCTCTGTTACTTTGGTTGGATGCCTCATCCTCGTCCTCCTGTTGGTCTTGGCGAGAGCAGTGGAGGTGTAGATTCTTTCAAAGTCCAGTGTCGTCGTGTATGCCATGCTTGCTGGACTCACAGACAAAGGGGACGGAATGCAACTAATTGACGTCATCTTCGTCACCACGACTGGTGATGTCATGTCTATGGTGAGTGTTGTCGCTACCTTTTTCTATCGTCTATCTGGCCAATCAATAGATGCAAGTCTGTTTGGGCGTTGTGCAAGTTTCTGAAAATGGCAGGTTATAACGAATTACTAGGTTATTTTGATGAATTACACAAACATCAATCAACAAGAAACTGACAATGCCAAGGATGATTTAAAATGAGTAATCCACAAGTAAGTTTGAATAAAAGAGAACTAAATTGAACAATCACACTTTGCACTAGTTTTCTCAAAACTCAAATTATGCAATTCATCACACTTCATTGACCGAATGTAATATCTTATTTTCTAAAGAGGACACAGAATCTATACAAACTTTGCTCTGGAGTTACATGCTTCCCAGACCAGAGGTAGTAATATGTTATATATAATATCTGAACATTTATTGCATTTTCTATGTAGTAATAATGGTACTAGTAATAGATTTTCATCAACGTTGTGGTGTCCACCTCCCGTGATGTTGCTGGAATATTGCTAAAAGCGGCGTAAAACCAAACTCTCAGTCAGGCAGTTGTATTGTTGAAGGCACAAGTATATTCACCTTGTAGTAGCTGTATGTTTACACCATTACGTCTTTGGAGGTGTATTTAGAAGTGAATAATGTTAAGACGCAGATGTTCGAATGTTTGATGTTTTATTATGTGAAAACACAATGCTTCGAGTGAATGCTTACACCCGACGAAGGTAAGCATTCACCTCTAAACATGTTTTCACATAATAAAGGAGTTGACATCCATAAACCTTTGTCTCTACACTATTAATTGGAACATATTTCACTACTTATAATGAAAGTCACTACAGATAGGTCAAAATTACCTTCACACATGTTTCAGCTGACCATCCTGGGTCATTCGTTATACAGTCTGCAGACTCATCATCAGCTGAAAAAAATAAACAATAACACGTTACTTTTCTTTGCATTTCTCCATTCATTCATTTGAGGTTTAACAAACCCCAAACAATTGCAGCGACATTTATACCAACAAGCAAACTACAGATTTATCAATTTTAAAAGGTTATGCAATGAGTAAGTGAACGGCCCTGACATAAACATCCTGATGAATGAAGTTCAGTTATCTCATGTGACATAACCTTGGAGATAATGGTGATTGTAAAATCAAGGGGTCAGTTTACTGCCATTTCACACAGGTGTGAAGTTTATTTGGTCCAATTTGAAATCATGATTAAGTTACCGGTTATTCAAAATCCATTTGCAAATGTAACTTGAGTATGGTTCATTTTGTGAAAATGTATCTAGGGAAGCATAATAATAAAATATTCAAAGGGAGTGAAATTACGTCTATGTTTCATAGTACCATAAACACATACCTTCAGTTAGAGAGGGTGATCTTTTCTTCCAGGAGTTGGTCGTGACATCGCTTCCTCTCAACAGCCTAAATGGATAAAACAAATCAATTAATATACAATGTATTTGCTATATTTTTCAAAATTGTAGTATATTTTCGATAGACACTTATTTTACTTCACCAACCTTTGAAAATAGTTCGTGCAAAACTGTTTATACAGTCAGGGACTTAAATATACGTCAGTCGGCAAAATTCTCATAGACTTGCATGCTATTTTAGTGTAGCTATGTAATTTTCATTAATTCAGTTTTCCATATTTGGTTGTCAAATTATGCAGGCTGTTAGGAAATAATCTTGGTCACAGATACATAATTTTCCGCATTGTAGTTACATGAGCAACATATATACAACATTGCGTATTCTTTCCCCATAGACCGCCATGTTAAAATTGCCATAACCATGACACGCATTGAATTGAAAATAAAACGGAAATTATGTCTTTGAAGCTGAGGATGATTCAGAACCCATGTGCAAAATATGAACAATATCAAACGGATATCAAATAAATTCAAGACATATTTCTAATGCAACCAAATTAACATGTAAGTCGAATAATGCATAATGGCGAATACCTATGGCCACTGGCTGTAATTCGATAGATTAAAGCTTGTTTACCAATCCGGATTATCTGTACGTAAAGTAAATAATTCATAAAACGTTATTTGACAACAAAACAAATTGGTCTTACCTCACTTGGGGTCGTGGTACTCCGCGAGTTTTTCGCAGCCATTTCCATCTTTTCTTTCCAGGTAGCGAATTCTCTCTCTTTCAGTGCTCTGAGGAAAACTGAGGTGGCTTTGAAAATCGCGACTGCAAAGAGCTCACAGGAAAAACATCTTGTTGTTGTTTTCAATCTAAATCTAACATTGCCAGTTTGACACAATATTTCTTCCGCGTTATACAACAAAATAAACATACGCACTATACACACATAAAATGTCAGCTATTATTGTTTTATAATGATTTAGGTAGTCTCATGTGGACGTGACGATCCGGTCGCCATTGTTTTTGACTGTTTTACATCAATGGCCATCAAAGGGGACCGTGAAAGGTGGAAATGAGTAGATTGAATGTGAGTACCCAACAGTGGGCTTGTATGGGCTTAAGGGTCTTCTCTCATCGCATTATGGGCACCAATTGCTCCTCCTCAAGTGTCGAAGCATCAACATGTAGGCCTAGAGAAGTGAATAAATCTGAAAACATATTCACGTTACTTTAAAAGTCCCTATCGAGCTCCGCTTGGAGTCCCACTCTAAGGAGAGATTGTGTTAGTGGCAAATAGGTGATTCTTTTCAAAACCCTGTCA